TAGAAAAAGTGAACTTGAGTTGTGGTAAAGTTTTTCTGTGCCCACGACGGGTATCGAAACCTGGTATTTAGCGTTTATAAGCCTTCAGATATACCGTTGCCCCACTGGAGAGTGGGCTGTTTTTAGTGCAAAGCTACTCAATGGGTTGTATGCATTCTATCTACCGTAGAGATACGAACCCTTGAACCAAGCACAGCTTGAATCAATTTTAGAAATCACTCTAGGCTTCTCTTTATAAAATACAAAACCAAATATCAATCGGCGGTGATATTTTCCTCTTTGAAAAAAAAATCGCTTCTAAAGCTGATATCACATCAGTATTTTAAATATTTGTCTTTACAAGAGGGAATCCTCAATAACCGCGGCACGATTAAATTAAATTAATCTGTGACACTGTTTTGTTTTGTTTTTCCTTTTTATTGGCTATATTTTTGTGCACCCGATTCGATTTTATTACTTATTAGGATCTCTGCCAGCTTACTCCCAATTTTAGGCAGAATTAGGGTAAATTAACCTATGAGACCTTGGGCGTGATCAAATATATCAATCGAAAGAGTTAGACCTCTTAAGTCCAAAACTGTAATTAGATCTCAAAAGATGATGGAACTATGGACTAAAAGTTTGTGCTTAAAAAAAACAACAACCTCAGAGCCGTTTTATGAGCCGATATGTTGCGGCTGAAAATAAACTGCCAGAGGAAGTGCTAATTTCAAGGTATTTAAAGTTTTTACAATATTAGTCCTAACCGAGTAAAGTTTCTTTGTTTTTTAAATATCTTATTTTGTTTAATAACCTTAGTAGATAATTATTAAAGCGTTAACCAACAACAACAAATCAGTAAAAAAAAACAAAAAATCCCGAAGGCCTCAGTGACGTAAATCAGAATATTCAAAGATCATTCTGTTTGGGTAACAAAAAAATAGGCTCAAAGCTCGCAACTAAAAATACTTTAATTCCATTATCCTCCACCAGTTTATACCGTCTTTTAATTTTACTGTTTCTCTTTAATTATTTTTTAATAAATAAAATAAAATCAATTATTGATATTCTAAACAGTGAGAATATTTTACTAACCTTTCTGACCTTAGCTTCAAGAAGTAAAACCACTGTTAGTGTTAACTGCTCCTTGTCCTTCCACCTACTAATGATCATCACCAATTATCTTCACCTGTGGCGACGCCTACCTCCTCATGACTTTGAGTGGGCGTTACCACTGCTCTTTGTTTCCTCACTATCACTGACCTACTCACCGGGATAATACTAACAAATTATCTAATCAATAATTCCAACACAATCACATGAATACGACTGATTCTTCAGTAAAAGTATTATAAAAAAAAACGTGACGAAATGGGAGTCTCTTAATGCTGAAAAAAGACAACTTCTACTGTCCGCAGACTGGTGAAGTAATTCAAAATAAACTCTGTCAAATAAACCTACATCCGAGACAACGTTATATCAGCAAGGTGTATAGCAAACGAGCGAGCATGCGCAGAACAAGTAGTAAGTGTTAGTATAATGTTTATCTAAAACTAGTACAATAATAAACTTGAAAATCAATTGTATTAAAATATATTTTATGCGCATCGACAATAGGAAGTCGGGTTCAAGTAGAAAGGTGCCCGACATGGCGTGGTGATTAGGGCATTCTTCTCATAACCTGTGGGTCACGAGTTCGAATCCCGTCACCGAACATGCAGCCCAACAGTTGACGTTAGATGGAGCTGCCTTTCCTCTAGTTTATAACTTCTAAATTAGGAACGGATAGCGTACATAGCCCTTGAACAGCTTTGTACGAAATTCACAAAACAAATCATACCGATAAAGAAGAATTCTTGGATTGTTCTTTAAAGGCGAGTGATGACTCAAACATAAACAATCAATTTATGAATAATTAGGAAAAGTTACCTGAAAAAATCATAAATAGTAGACTCATAAATCAACTTGAAACTAAATCAATACTCCATTAGTAGACTCATAAATCAACTTGAAACTAAATCAATACTCCATTAGTAGACTCATAAATCAACTTGAAACTAAATCAATACTCCATTAGTAGACTCATAAATCAACTTGAAACTAAATCAATACTCCATTAGTAGACTCATAAATCAACTTGAAAGTAAATCAATACTCCATTAGTAGACTCATAATTTACATTGAAACTAAATCAATACTCCATTAGCAGACTCATAAGTTACCTTGAAACTAAATCAATACTCCCGGAAATACAAGATGGCTTCCGAAAAGCAAAACAAACAACAGATCATCTCATAAGATTAACGGAAGACATAATACACGGCTTTAATAAAAAACAATGTATAGTCGGACGATTTCTAGATTTTGAAAAAACATTCGCTAAAGTATGGCACAACGGACTCAGATACAAACTGTCCAAATTGGGACTCCCCATAGAAAGTGTTCGCTGGGTTTCTAACTTCCTGGACGATAGGAGCATCAGAGTGAATGTTGAGGGCACAGTGCTGCACTCCGGAGGCGGGTGTCTCTCAATGAGGGGTACTTGGCCCTACACTGTTTATCACGTATGTCAGCGACATGCCTCTCAAAGACCCAAACCACACTTTTTGTTCACAGTTCGGAGATGATGTTCCAATCTGGAAGAGTGCCCATACCCAACAACAGCAACATACAACCACTACTAAATATACAACTACTACTAAATATACAACATACGACATACAACATACAACTACTACTAAATATACAACATACGACATACAATATACAACCACTACTAAATATACAACATACGACATACAATATACAACATACGACATACGATATACAACATACGACATACAATATACAACATACGACATACGATATACAACATACGACATACAATATACAACATACGACATACGATATACAACCACTACTAAATATACAACATACGACATACAACATACAACTACTACTAAATATACAACATACAATATACAATATACAACCACTACTAAATATACAACATACGACATACAATATACAACCACTACTAAATATACAACATACAATATACAATATACAACCACTACTAAATATACAACATACAATATACAACCACTACTAAATATACAACATACGACATACAATATACAACATACAATATACAACCACTACTAAATATACAACATACAATATACAACAACTACCAAACATACGACATACAATATACAACATACAACCACTACTAAACATACGACATACAATATACAACATACAACCACTACTAAACATACGACATACAACATACAATATACAACCACTACTAAATATACAACATACAATATACAACCACTACTAAATATACAACATACAATATACAACCACTACTAAATATACAACATACAATATACAACCACTACTAAATATACAACATACAATATACAACCACTACTAAATATACAACATACAATATACAACCACTACTAAATATACAACATACAACCACTACTATTATAGAAATAAAAGTGTACTACAATAAGCGGAGAACTGAAATAAATGCGTCCAAAACACGAGTCATATTATTTACAAATCGTACAAAAACAATCAAATTAATACCACAGTTACATCTAGACGGGACAGGTAGAAACATCAGCAAAATTCTTAGGGATTACATTTGACTCAAAATTAAACTGGATACCACACATTAAAAGCAGAATTTCCAAAAGAACGAGCTACCTTAGGAGTCTGACTGGCAACAAACAAGGAGCTTCACCAGAAAACATTGAAAATTTACAGAACATACACAAGACCACTCGTAGAATATGCCTGTATAACATGAATCAATGTATCAAAAACACACATCAACAAACTACAGTAAATACAAAACTATATTTTAACGAAAGCATATAGAGTCCCACGATCAACAAACTCAGTATTTCTACACAACTATTCAAACATGCCAACTCTATCAGACAGATTCCTGGATAACTCGCTTCAATATTATAAGAAAAATATTAATAAAAATGAACTGATGATCAAACTAGAGTTACATAATACATGATAAACCAAGCCCTAAGTACCTCTCACCTCTAAACATCATAACTAAGAAACTTACAGAACAAACAGTGTTGGTTAACTGAATCCTAGACACAAACGTCGCTCTATTTTAAAATGGTTTTGTATGTAACAATAGGATTATGTGTTTGTGTATATGACTGCTAAGTGGAACTGTATTGTGAACACGGACTAATAGTGCGATCATACATACGTGAAGCTAGTGAAAATATACAAGTTAATATTACTCCGCGTATTGGACGTGGCAAGAAAATGGTATGCTAATTAAAAATGTTGACAATGGACAAAATTTAACATATTGTGAGTAATACAAGAACAATGTAACAAGGATTATTACCTTGGATTCAGTAACAGAGAGGGAGGAAGAGATCTACGCTGAACCTGACCCTCCCTGGTCCGAATCCCGAAAAAGATGAGAAATAGTTTTCATTGGAAAAGAACTTAATAAGTTGTGTCATCGAGGTTAGGCTTAAGTTGATTTGAGACACAAGTGTCTTTAAACGTGAATTTAGACTGAAACTATTTTTTAGGTTTAAAGAATAAATACTTATGTTCAAGACTTCAAATGTAGAGTATGAATACAGATGCTTATTTATAGGATCCACTACTAGAGGGCTTCAACCTCGAGTACAAGAACTTTAACCTAGCGTCATTTTCTACCACCAAGAACCAAACGAATACTGAGCGTGAAATGTTCAGCCAGTGTTTGTGGCTTCTCTAAATAAACCATACTTTAATATTCCGTTGTTATTACTTCTTAATTTTATAATTGTACTTTTATTATAGAGATTGTTTTGTATTGTTAGCTTGGTATATGGATTTAGTACTAACAAAAATTTCCTAAGCTGGCCGAAACTCACGAGATATTATTGGGATTACGGAAAACATACTTCTACGTTACTATATAAACCGTGTTAGTCTCTCGTGAAAACAACTATTCAACTGAATGTATTACGGTTAATTGATTTTCAAACAAGAGATGGCGCCACCTTACAGGATTAAAGATATTCAAAAACAATGAAAGAATTAAACAACTCAGTTATATTATAAAAACTATTCGTTATTAGGGAGGAAATTAAATTTTGCATTTTAAATTTGTTTTAAGTATTTCAGTAAGCTCTAGTTTATAATTCGCCGAATGTATATACAGCGAATAAGGATATTCATACTTAATTGTCTATAAAGGCAGGTTGGCCATAGAGTTTTTTGTAGTTTCCCCTTATTTTTAATTACAATTAATTAATTATTTATTAATTGATATTTTAGGTTTCCAGCAACTCTTCTAGTAGAAACTTTACATCAAACGTGGATACTGGTCATGAAGTGCCTTATTTAATCTTTTCTAAAATAAGATTATTCATTATTTACGAAATACTTTTCTTAGATCTCACAACTAGAGCGCCATCTGTATTAATCGTTTTTAAAACACGACGGTAGTCGCAAAATATCTATCGTTTCTTGCACTGGTTTTAGTATTATCAACCTTGTATATTATGCTGCCATCTAGGAATAAAAATATAAATTATGTCGCTCAGTATGAACTTTCAATTTGTGATATAAATAAATTTATGAATGTTTCTTTGCTATTATTAGCATTCACGAACCGAAACTTTGAACTTTTTCATGATTGTTGAAGGAATTGATGGTGTTGATGCATCATCTTTTTACATACATAACAGTGAGAATAGTAGGACTAGGGGACACAAATATAAATTTTGGCAAGGTAGG